CTACATACTGATATACACCTGAACATCAGCAGGAGAGGACTCTTTAAAGTAGAGACTACATACTGATATACACCTGAACATCAGCAGGAGAGGACTCTTTAAAGCAGAGACACTACATACTGATAAACCTGAACATCAGCAGGAGAGGACTCTTTAAAGCAGAGACACTACATACTTGATACACCTGAACATCAGCAGGAGAGGACTCTTAAGTAGAGACACTACATACTGATATACCCTGAACATCAGCAGGAGAGGACTCTTTAAAGCAGAGACACTACATACTGATATACACCTGAACATCAGCAGGAGAGGACTCTTTAAAGTAGAGACACTACATACTGATTACACCTGAACATCAGCAGGAGAGGACTCTTTAAGTAGAGACACTACATACTGATATACACCTGAACATCAGCAGGAGAGGACTCTTTAAGTAGAGACACTACATACTGATATACACCTGAACATCAGCAGGAGAGGACTCTTTAAAGTAGAGACACTACTATATACCCTGAACATCAGCAGGAGAGGACTCTTTAAAGTAGAGACACTACATACTGATATACACCTGAACATCAGCAGGAGAGGACTCTTTAAGCAGAGACACTACATACTGATATACACCTGAACATCAGCAGGAGAGGATCTTTAAAGCAGAAGAGACACTACAATGATATACACCTGAAAATCAGCAGGAGAGGACTCTTTAAAGTAGAGACACTACATATGATATACACCTGAACATCAGCAGGAGAGGACTCTTTAAAGCAGAGACACTACATACTGATATACACCTGAACATCAGCAGGAGAGGACTCTTTAAAGTAGAGACACTACATACTGATATACATCTGCACATCAGCAGGAGGAGGACTCTTTAAAGTAGAGACACTACATACTGATACATCTGCACATCAGAAGGAGAGGACTCTTTAAAGTAGAGACACTACATACTGATATACACCTGAACATCAGCAGGAGAGGACTCTTTAAAGTAGAGACACTACATACTGATATACACCTGAACATCAGCAGGAGAGGACTCTTTAAAGTAGAGACACTACATACTGATATACACCTGGACATCAGCAGGAGAGGACACATACTGATATACACCTGAACATCAGAGGAGAGGACTCTTTAAAGTAGAGACACTACTACTGATATACACCTGAACATCAGGAGAGGACTCTTTAAAGTAGAGACACTACCTATGATATACACCTGAACATCAGCAGGAGAGGACTCTTTAAAGTAGAGACACTACATACTGATACACCTGAACATCAGCAGGAGAGGACTCTTTAAATAGAGACACTACATACTGATATACACCTGAACATCAGCAGGAGAGGACTCTTTAAAGTAGAGACAACTACATACTGATATACACCTGAACATCAGCAGGAGACTCTTTAAAGTAGAGACACTACATAATACTGATATACACCTGAACCTCATCAGGAGGAGACTCTTTAAAGTAGAGACACTACATACTGATATACACCTGAACATCAGCAGGAGAGGACTCTTTAAAGCAGAGACACTACATACTGATATACACCTGAACATCACAGAGAGGGACTCTTTAAAGCAGAGACACTACATACTGATATACACCTGACATCAGCAGGAGAGGACTCTTTAAAGTAGAGACACTACATACTGATATACACCTGAACATCAGCAGGAGAGGACTCTTTAAAGCAGGACACTCACATACATGATATATCCACTGAACATCAGCATGAGGCAGAGGACTCGTGTGTAAGTAGAGACACTACATACTGGATATACACCTGAATATCGAGCAGGAGAGGACTCTTTAAAGTAGAAGACACTACATACTGATATACACCTGAACATCAGCAGGAGAGACTCTTTAAAGTAGAGACACTACATACTGATATACACCTGAATATCAGCAGGAGAGGACTCTTTAAAGTAGAGACACTACATAATGATATACACCTGAACATCAGCAGGAGAGGACTCTTTAAAGTAGAGACACTACAATACTGATATACACCTGGAACATCAGCAGGAGAGGACTCGTTAAAGTAGAGACACTACTTACTGATATACACCTGACATCAGCAGGAGAGGACTCTTTAAAGTAGAGAGCACTACATACTGATATACACCTGAATATCAGCAGGAGCGAGGACTCTTTAAAGTAGAAGACACTACATACTGATATACCCTGAACATCAGCAGGAGAGGACTCTTTAAATTAGAGACACTACATACTGATATACACCTGAACATCAGCAGGAGAGGACTCTTTAAAGTAGAGACACTACATACTGATATACACCTGAACATCAGCAGGAGAGGACTCTTTAACGTAGAGGACACTACATACTGATATCACACCTGAACATCAGCAGGAGAGGGACTCTTTAAAGTACGAGACACTACATACTGATATACACCTGAACATCAGCAGGAGAGGACTCTTTAAAGTAGAGACACTACATACTGATATACACCTGAACTATCAGCAGGAGAGGACTCTTTAAAGTAGAGGACACTACATACTGATATACACCTGAACATCAGCAGGAGAGGACCTCTTCTTAAAGTAGAGACACTACATACTGATATTACACCTGAACATCGAGCAGGAGAGGACCTCATTTAAAGTTAGAGACCACTTACATACTGATATACACTCTGCAACATCAGCAGGAGCGGACTCTTTAAAGTAGAGACACTACATACTGATATACACCCTGAACATCAGCAGGAGAGGACTCTTTAAAGTAGAGACACTACATACTGATATACACCCTGAACCATCAGCAGGAGAGGGACTCTTTAAAGTAGAGACACTACATACTGATATACACCTGAAACATCAGGAGGAGAGGACTCTTTAAAGTAGAGACAACTACATACTGCTTTAATAGCACCTGAACATCAGCAGGAGAGGACTCTTTAAAGTAGAGACACTTACCATACTGATATACACCCTGAACATCAGGCAGGGAGGAGTACTCTTAAAGTAGAGACACTACATACTGATCTACACCTGAACATCAGCAGGAGAGGACTCTTTAAAGCAGAGACACTACATACTGATATACACTGAACATCAGGCAGAGAGGACCATTTTTGGGGGTTTTGAACTCTTATAAAGCAGAGACACTACATACTGATATACAACCTGAACATCAGACAGGAGAGCGGACTCTCTAAAGCAGAAGACAGACATACATACTGATATACACCTGAACATCAGCAGGAGAGGACTCTTTAAGTAGAAGAGACACTACTACTGATATACACCTGAACATCAGCAGGAGCAGGACTCTTTAAAGCTAGAGACACTACATACTGATATACACCTGAACATCAGCAGGAGAGGACCTCTTTAAAGTAGGAGACACTACATATGATATACACCTGAACATCAGCAGGAGAGCGACTCTTTAAAGCTAGCGACCCATTACATACTGATATACCACCTCTGAACATCACGCAGCGAGAGCGACTCTTTAAAGTAGAGGGACCACTACACTACTGATATACACCTGAACCTCAGCAGGAGAGGGACTCTTTACACGCTAGAGACACTACATAACTGATATACACCTGGATGAACATCCAGCAGGACGAGGGACTCTTTAAGATAGAGACACTACATAGCTGATTATACACCTCGAACATCCGCAGGCAGAGGCGACTCTTTACCGGCTAGAGACACTACATACTGATATACACCTGAACATGTCATGCTAGGAGAAGGACTCTTTAAAGCTAGGACGACCCACTAATACTGTATAACACATGAACATCAGCAGGAGAGGACTCTTTAAAGTAGAGACACTACACACTGATATACACCTGAACATCAGCAGGAGAGGACTCTTTAAAGTAGAGACACTACATACTGATCAACCCTGTCTCCTAGAAATTACGTTCCCACAAAACTAAACTGCATTCTCAAATACGTTTCGCAAAAAACGTATTTTCTCCCACGTTACGTTTGTTATGAACGTATCTCAAATACGTTTGCTTTCTACCTATCTTTGCCATTTCTTTTCTAGCTTATAATAATGATAATAGTAATTTATTAATATCATTTTAGAGCAAACTTATTTTCGCGCTGGCTGGCGGCTCACTGTTCAGTTTACCAAATCCGTTATTATGCTGGTTAATGGTTGATAATCACAATATTGTTTGTAGTCGTTTCATGTCTTAACTACACACTTTTAAATTGTTATCATCCAAAAAGCCTCTTTCGCTGGTACATGAAGGCACTGTGGGTTATTCAAACCATTCTATTTATTCTAACGTAAATTACATGCCAGTGTTTTATCTTTTTAGTTAGCGATTTGTTTATAGCATGTAGCATGTTTAACTGGGAATGTGTTCACGTGGAACCGCGGAAGTACGTCACTTGACTTCGTCTTCTTCGTCCCTTTTACGTTCCAGACAATGCATGGCTCAGCGTAACAGACAGAACAGCGACCCCAGGTGTGTCTACATTGGAATTACATCTTCATTACTGAAGGAAAATACTTGACCTAGTGTTTGTTAACTGGGTTTTTAATGCAGTTGGCTTTTCTTAATGGTTACAATATTGCTATGAGTTATATCTGAAACAAATGATGTTTCTGAAGATGTGTAGTCCACCCTTCAATGTAGCATAAATGTGAACTCATTACAGGAACAGCCTTCTCTTAAACAAACCTTCACCATTTTCTAGAAATAATTCTGGCTGTTAAGGGATATACTATGTAAAACAACAGCAATACTTGTTCTGACAGAAGATAAAAACAAATACATAATCAAACAGTGTGCTTTCATTCATTCATTTATTCAAATAAATGGAAAATATAAAACATGAATACAGAATAACCGAGCAGAACCGAAAAGGTCTTGGACGAGGAGTGGTGCTCAAAAGGGCTCATCATGGATGTATCTGTGGAACAACAAAAACAGACACTTAAGCATTCTATATGGTGTTAAATATTCAAAAACATTTGTCAGCATTTCATCACTATTCAAGATGTCAGAGGAATGATTAATGTAATCCAATTGACTTGTATGTCTGCCTTGGTTTGAGATACTTATAATATAATTATTACCAATCTTGCTTCTCATCATCAGAGGAGTCAGTGTCATCAAGGGTGAGACAGATCTCCCCATCCCACACTTCCTCCTCTCCTTCATTGTCTTCCTCCTGTAGGGCAGTGGGGTCCATCAAAACATTCCTGCATATAAAAGCATTATTTATTGTCATGGTTAGTATCCAGGTTCTTAGTCTTTATGTACCGACAGCATTGGAAAGTTTCACATTAGACAAATCTAAATTGTTTAAATACCTTCAAGGTAATATTAAGGAATGTTGAGATAAACATTACATTAACTTGCATAAATGTAAAAAACAAAAACATATCAACAGTACTAAAATCTTCATCTAATGTTCTGTAAGTGTTGGACCTGATATATATACAGTAAGTGTGCCGTTGTAAGTATGTACAATTAACTCAATGTATATACTGTATATGGTTTGTTTGTTTTATGTCGTAGAGTCTGGTATGGAGTATTTATATCCTGTACCAGAAAATGTTCAAAACATTTAAAAATGTCAATAAATAGTTTGCAGTCTGTCTACAGACATTTGATGGTTATCAAGAATATTCTTTCACTCGTATATACAAGCAATAGTGAAGGATCTCTACATATAAGAATACACATATGTAACATCAATGTTGTTTTATGTTGATGTGAAGTTATTAATGTGGCATTGTTTCTATTCAATCTATATGCGCATCATGTGTAGATAGATTGCAATCAATCAATCAATCAATCATCAATTTAATTAATTATACTCAAAACAAGAACTGAATCCAGTGTATTTCTCCAAAAGAAATACTCACCTGTATGTGCTGAAGGACTCCTCCATTTGTTTTTCCATCTCCTGGAGCCTTTTCTTCAATAAATCCTTCAGCCCCTCATATGCTTCCAAGGACATGGTAAAAGGACAGCCTAAAAGGTGGAAAGGGGTAATATTATATTACTATTTCGCAAATGAGGGCCTAGGCCCCTTGTCATGTCTGCCGATATCTGGTTTTCTTATGTCTGTTTCTTTTAATCTGTGTCTATGTTGTTGTCAGTGACGTATTGTCTTATCTTTTTAAATGCCTTTGTGATGTGCTGCAACCCATTTTCCCCTCGGGGACAAATAAACGAATACTACTACTACTTATATCGATAATGATCATTATATTTCAGTGAAATACCTACTCTGTTTACACAGGTCCTTCTCAATCTGCTGGATCTCTCTTTGCACAGCTCTTGAACATCCTGTCAGGTAGCGGCAATGGTTCTTCATCTCTTTGATGAGAATCCCATCCTCTTCTCGAAGTCGAGAGCAGCATGACTTTGTCAAAGGCCATTTTCTTTGTCTCGAGGGGGACGGTGGATGCTATAACGAAGTGAATATGTTGAGTTTATTTAACAGTAATGAAAACAAACTTCCATAGTTGTTAATACATTAAAACTTATATTACTAGAACAAGTGACAAAATAGCATATGGAAAATTGTGTGGAAGATTTAAATAGACTGCATGACTGATCATGTCAAACAAAAACAGTATGAAAAACAGCAAAGATATAAAAATATCCGCTTTGTTAAGTGCAGAAAAATGCATATACCAGAATCCCATGGCCAAATAGGGAAGTCTTGACTTAGGACTGCATCTGCTGTATCAACAGCCTCTGTGTCTGGCACAAGGTTGTTGTAAGCTGCAATCGCCTCCTCCAGTTTCCGCTTGTTCTTTGCAATGATATCCCGTTTGGGCTTGCGGTCTTTGTTATTGTCTATAAATGACAGGAAGTGCAAAGATAAAAAATATCCAAATAATTTTTTATATTTAGCGTTATTTCAAAAATAATACAATAACAATAATAATCAAAGCTGCAAGCAGCGTTGAGCGGGTCTTCGACGCTCCGCAGGCTGTTGTCCGCACGTCGAGGTGTGTAGGTCTCTCGAGGACTCGGCCGTTGGCAAACGTGGGAAGTTTCAGGCCGATCGGACAACGTACATACATACGTACGAGTTACAGCAGTATCATAAACATTGTGTTTGATGGCGAGTGATCTGTCGCCATGGCAACGGAATTTGATGACACCCCATAATTGACATAGTGGTGTTGAGGGCCGGACCATTAACTGTCATCTGAAGTCTGGTGCAGTTTGGAACCTTTTCCATTGAGTTAAGACAACATTGTGTTTTTTGGTGAGGGATGCGTTGCCATGGCAACGGCATATGGTAACATCCCATAATTGGCGTAGAGCTGTTGAGGGCCGGACCATTAACTGTCATCTGAAGTCTGGTGCAGTTTGGACCATTTTCCATGGAGTTATGACAACACTGTGTTTCATGGCGAGGGATCTGTCGCCATGGCAACGGCATATGATGACATCCCATAATTGGCGTAGAGCTGTTCAGGGCCGGACCATTAGCCATCATCTGAAGTCTGGTGCCGTTTGGACCATTTTCCATCGAGTTATGACAACACTGTGTTTCAAGGCGAGGGATCTGTCGCCATAGAAACAGAATTTGATGACACCCCATAATAATACGCCTAGATGTGTTGAGGGCTGCATCGGTATCAAACCTGTGAAGTTTTGGGCCGTTTGGAGCATGTTAACTGGAGTTATGAGAAAACCGTGTTTCACGGCGACCATTTTGTTACCATAGCAACGACATTTGACTAAATCTCAAAACTGACACAAATATGTCTTTAGGGCTGTACACATGTGAAGTTTGGGGCCGTTTGGAGCATGTGCAATTGAGTTATGTGGAGTTAAATGAATACACTGTTCAAATTGAAAGCTGCTTTATTCTGAAAACCGGATGTTCACACACTCGACTTCCGGTTTTCGCAGTCAACTTCAGGTTAGCATTAGCAGTTTCCCAGCGGAGTGAAGAAAACACATGAAACTCACGGGACTCACTCCTCAGTTCATACCGTGTTCTGTTTCAATGAATGCATCATTCAGTTACAAATATGTGATATATCTGAACAACTAAGTGCTCAAAAATCATTTTATTCATTTATTGGAAACATTTTCATGATCGCTTTTTTCGTTTTACATTTTCATTTATTGTCATTTCCATTCAGTCAGTCATTAAGTGCTATTTAACATGTTAATGTGCTACATATCCACACAAACAGACAAAGTGTGCAATCCAATGAATGTTAATCTAACTGGGTTTTGATAGATAACATATCTCTTTTTCTTCTCTGAATTATTTTATTTCTATTGTGCACTCTAATCAATATTAATCCAACTATTGTTCGTTTATACATTTTAAGAATGGCGTTCATCTTTTTTGAGAATGAGTTCTTATTTAATGTATTTGGGTCTACAACAGATGATACAAATGTTTGTGTCAGTAATGTGTACTAACAGAGGCGGGGGTGTTTGTGAAAATAACGGGGACAGAGCTGCTGTCAGACGAACAGCTGTGCAGCGTCATCACAAACGGACGTCGCTTCACGTGACGCTCCGGAGGAAAGGACGTCCCATTGCTCTAAAAACTCATTTCCCTGCTTCTTGTGGTTTCCTTGCGTCTCTCCATGCTTCCCTGGTGGGAGGGACTAAACGCAGGGAAACCACGCAAGAGAGGGACGCAAGGAATCCATTTAATCGACCTGAGAAGGACCCCAACTCAGTGAAAGCACCGCCTGATGACCAATCAGAGCTCAGTGTGCAGAGTGTAAAGCTATCAAGTCATATTACAGGATAAAATAAATACAGTTTAAACTGCTGTAGGCTATGCAGGAAAAGAGGTCCGGCAAAAGATCACCGACTGTGTGAACATTAAACAAAATAGAATATCACTGCCCATCTTCAGAGCAATCTGAATATTATTACATTTGCAGCAAGCAAGCTTACTTAAATATCTGCCACAAGATAAGTAACCGGAGCAAAGCAACTCAGAGCATTGCGTAGAGTCTGCGACACTGTGCAGACGTGTCGCACTTATCATTCACATCACATCATCTCACATCATATCATATATTTCCTATCTGTATCAGATTCTCGAGCCGTTTCTGGTCGTGCACACTTACATTGTCACATACTGTATGCCAAAGTATGAACTGCAACACATTAAGTTGACGTTAACACGTAATTAAAGTCAGATCCATTCAAACCTGTTAATGTATGCATTCAAACACTCGGTCGTTTTTGTACCAGCTGTTATATTTTCACTTTGCAGCTATGCTGCTTTTACTCTGGATTATGTGTTAAAATCATGGATGTTTAAAGTTTATCTTCTTCATATTTGTCTAACATACATGATAGTTTACTTAATTCATGAAGTATAATGCTGCGCTGTCAGTAGTACGCTTCTCCAGGTTTGTGATTGGTCAAATGTTGCTAACCCCGCCCCTTTCACGTAAAAGCGCTCAGAGAAACCCTGGGTTGATTTATCGATCAGGCTAACGTTGTATCTGCTCCGTCCACACTCACAAAAACATGATACAGACACAGATACAACAGCGACTGTATTCACCATGACACAGACAGTCTGTGTTTTGTTCATGTTTAACTTTTGTCCAGTTTCTGAACAGATATGAGGAGCTGTAAGCTCTGTGTGCTAACAGCTAACGGCTGATGGTTTTCTGATTCAACGTAGGTGACGGCAGGCTGAGATCCTCATCGCTGATTGGCTACCGCGAGAACGCGTCTCACACGCACACACACACACACATCGTTTTTTTACTGTAAATATGAACTATTTCTATTGGAAGGCAAACAAAAAATGTAACAGAAGGAGAGCTCTGATTGGTCGCTCATTTTTTTAAATGTGATATTCATAAATGCATAACATTGCTAACCCAGCAAGCAGTTGATATTCAAATGTAAATATTATATATTTCGATTTTTGTAAGTCATTCAACTATGAACAATTAAATATATTTCAAGGTATACTATATTCAGGGTTCCTGCAGGTTTCGCCTACTCAAATGTAAGAGTTTGTAAGACCTTTTTAAGACCACTGAATAGAATTTAAGACCTATTTCACGGCAAGAAAGTATGAAGGAAAATTGCTATGAAAGAAGAAATACGTCCCATAATTACTTACAAAGTAAATGTAAAGGCATAACAGTACAGCACTGTGTTAGCGTGTTAGACAAAAAGTGTATGTGTGTGTGTGTCTGTGTGTTAGGGGTGTGCAATTAATCATATTTTAATCGCAATTACGATTTTGGCCTGCCACAATTACGAAATTATTTTGCTTTGCTAGATTGTGACAGTGCACTACAACATATTTGATCTAATTAATTTTAGTCTAATTTATTTTTATTTATCATATTTATACATGTTTAATAGCTTGTGGAAGTGCGCTCCAAAATATTTGTTGATCTTGTTTATTGGTATTTATTATTTTGATATTATTTATTTAAATGTATAATTTATTTAATTTATTTTTGTATTGGTTTTGCAGTTGAATTATAGGTTCAGGGTAATCAACATAATACTGTTCAAATTATTATTTGTTTTAAATAATTAACACATTAGCAAAACAAACGCTAATTTATTTTTCAAAAGGTGCAGCGGGCTTCAAACACGTTCCCTCCACTGGTTTCAACCAAGCACTAAATTCGATGTTTTCCAACCAAATACGGTTGAACTTACACTTCCCCATATTTATTTTTAAGTAGATTCTAAGATACATGAGTTTCTGACTGCCGCTAGCTGAAGCTTGCTTGCTAGGTTACTAGCTGGGTGTTCTCCAATAAGGGGCCGGGGGAAACAAAGTTAGTGATTACTGGTTCCATGTTGATTTATTTCAATACAAATTGTTGCGGGGAACTGAAAGGCTCTCACCGTACAGGTTACTTTGCAGCCCGGACATTTCCCCCAAAACACATTTAGACGCTATCGCAACACAGAAGTACCTTTCAAATCCCATCATTTTTAAGACCTTCTAAATCATATTTAAGACCTTTCTTATTTTTTTGGTCATATTTAAGACCTTTTTAAGGCCTTAAATTCAGATTATAAAATGTAAGACTTTTTAAGACCCCGCGGGAACCCTGTATATTTCTATATATATATATATATATATTTATTTGCTTTCATTGGTTAGATGACAACAACATGGCTGACAGTTAAGACACACACTGAAGTAAGAAGATATGATTCTACACTGTATTGAAGTAAACATGTATTGTTTGAACTGTTTTAGGTAATCACAAACGGGTTTTGATAAGTCACTTAGAATAGGAATGTTATTCTTACTTCCAAACTCACTGATCCAGAGATTCTGTGTTTCATACACCAACCTTGC